TGTACTTTTCGAAATGTAGTTCTGCACTCTCATTATACAGGGATGCACAGCGCTTGTAATAATTTACTGTAGGACTTAGAGTTTTACAATAGCTGGTCATGAGCAGGGCGCGCAGACATGAAACAGAAGATGGAGGAAGCCAATGAGCCCTTTACGCCAAAAACCAGGCGGCAATTTTGCAGCTTTGGGTTCAGGGCCTCCACCCACTCCTTCTGACCAACCCCCAACCCGAAGGCCTGTTGTAGTCCCCATGCTCTTTCCCATTCCTTCATGCTTGCTAAGCATCCCCAAAACATCTCAGCCACCTCAGCCCCTTTGCCATTGAACCTGGAGCTCGAAATCTCGAAGCCCTGAAAGCAACCTGGACACCTAAGGTATGTAAAATAATGTCCAATTTGGCCCTCTTGGGGGGCATTCGGGCTGCTTTTTTACTTACTTTAGAGTTCCGGTAACGCCCAGAGCACCAACGCCTTACCTTACAACCCCCAAACCTCAAACCTCCATACTGTACGAGCCCTAGTTACCTTAGTTGGGATTATGATAGGGTCTAGGGTTTTGGATTTAGATGGGTTTACTGGGTAGGGTTTAGATGGGCTAAGGGTTTAGGGTTTAGGGTCTTAGAGCTTAGGCTTCTACAGTAGCCCGGGACCTCCTCGAAGCGGGGCGACAACAGTTCTCGCTCCGGCGTGCCGCTCACCTGCGATTGGTGAATCGTCCCTTCCACCTAATATTGAAAACCCCACACGCTACCTAATATTGAATATTCCTATTGTGGTATAGTCCCATACTTAGGGAATATCTAAGATCGGGGAAATGGGTGGGTTTTAAATTGGGGGGAGGGGATTAGTAGGGAAAGGAACTGAGCGACAGAAGCGAACATGGAGACAACAACAGGGTCTATCGGTATTTTGGAGGGACGGAAGGAACGGAAAAGCTCTGGCATAAACTTTTTACTATAGAGTACAGCCTTCGGTCGTCGTCATGCGGAAAATCAGGAACGGAATGTAAGCCAAGCATGGGATCCTTGTTGGAGATTCTTTCGGGCTGCCCCTAACCCCTCAACCGGCTGCAGTAGAGCTCCTCCACTATTCCCTACTAATCCGTTCATACTAACACTAAATAGCCCCGCACCCCTAATGTTAAGGGTTTAGGTCTTAGGGTCTCAAATACCCCACCACCCCTAATTATGAACATTCAAGTCTACTTACTTTTCTACTATAAGTAGACCCCCACGGCCAGAAGGTCGGCAGGTTGCCTAGAGCCACGAAAGCTCGATACTCACTTATCCTTCCCCAAGCAGACATGGAACAAAAGGGCACCCATCTAGACTACTTTCCTATAAGCATGTGGCTATATTGCGATCCCTGTCAATTTGGGTGAGGGCTTGGTCTGGGTGCCTGGTCCTTCTTCTCCGACAAAAAACGGCGGATGCCGTGGACATGAGTCTCGGAAGCATAGTTCTGGGTGACCTCGTTGGCAGACCCGGGTTGTGGCAGTGAAGGTTCAGGAAAGGGTTTTCTGGGCTCTGCAAAACTGAGAAACTGTGAGGGAGTTGACTTTGACCTTGAAACGGCATGATCCAGGCGCACGGATATCAAAAACCCTTTAATGGTTCCTGGGATATCAAAAACCCTTTAATGGTTACTCTGGATCCATGCTTCCACACCCCAACTAATCACCTGTTGACCATCTCCCCAGATGAGGGGCAAGTCATGAGTTGGCAATAACGAACATCATCATGAGAGAAATAATACCAATAATGGCATCTGTAGTAGCAACGCGAACAACACCAACACCCTAGCCCTAGACCTTAAACCCAACAATAAATTCGCAGGCCAGGAGGCTGCAATTGTGTCATCGTCCAGATTTAAGACGGCATGCCTGTGGGCACCAAAGGAGCCATAGTCTAAACCCCTAGCATGCCCCATAGTCACTCCTATAGTAATCCCCTATAAACTCCCCTATATAACCCCTTTAAAGAGTTTAGCTTATAGCTCAAAGAGCTTTTAAGTTCTGGAATTCAGGCGAAAATCTGCATGAGTCTGCTCCTGAGCCCTATTGACATCCGTATAATCCGTACAAACGGATCCCGCATAATTATAAAGCCCCTATATGTTCCTAGAGTCCCTATAAAAGGACCCCGCATATAGTTTAGGACGCAGGAATGCCAGGCCAGGACTGCCTTGCTGGATTTGATTGATTGTTCTTGGCTGATGGACGGGCAACCCATTAGATACAATAATGTGGTTATCTAGGGTGTAGAAGTTTAGGGTATAGGGTTTAGTTTAGGGCTTAAGTTACCACAATAATGGTCTTTTAGTGAATAATACGACTTCCTTTCTATGGTAACTTAATTTAAGCTCCTTAACAACAACCCGGTAACCCAGCTACTTAAGCTTGCGCACCGACTTTCCCGCGAAAGCATGGCCCTACACATCAAAGTGCCCCAAACCTGCAACAGCCAAGGAGGCATCCTCCTCAAGTTTTGGCTGGCAGGGGTGGAACTCCAAGGTTCCAAACTGCAACCTAACACTTTCTCACGTGGCATGATCTGAAGCCTGTAGAGCTTAGGGGCTGTATCCCTACACACTCCTGTGAAGCCCACAAATGCCTGGGGCCACTAAAGTATCATTCATGCGGCCTGGCTGTGCCAAGGGCCTCGGGTCAAGGGTCCAACGGCTATCTTTGCGGAATTCTACAAGGATTGACCATAGAGCCCTCAATGGGATGCCCAATTATCATCCCAGTCACATCTATTCTAACATTAAATCCCCACCGCTAAACCCTGCCCAAGCTGCCACCAGCCACTTGGGATGAAAACCAAATCTCCAGGGCCACAAGTTCCTTCCTTCCGCGGATTTAAGGCTCAGGATTCAAGGATTCAGGTCTTAGGGCTGCTATTTTTAAGTTTAGGATTTGATGATGTCGGGTTTACTAGGATTGCTGAAGGTTCAGGGTAGTGATAAGGCTTTTCATCCTGAATGGAGGAATGGGTTCCCTTTGTAAACAAGTATAAACTTCCGTATCTGACTACTGGAGCCCCGTCAACCATTCATAAAAACCCTCTTGCGTCGTACTTGTTCTTGAACCCACAATATCTAGGTATATTATGAAGCACTTCTGTTCCAGAATAATGATAACGAGATAGGGTATTACCTGGCTGTAACTGCTGTCTCTACCTACTGCCTCTCCCTTAGAGAGAAATACCTTGAACAAAGAAATCATCTGAAACCCTAAGGACTGAACCTTAAACCCAAGAAACCTAAATCCTAAACCGCATTGAAACCCATGGAAATCTCGTCCTTGAGCTCCCACGCCGGATTCAGCTCAACATGTCTCTTCAACCTGAGATGTAGGGTTGATAGGATTATGTGCTAAAAACGTTGTAGAACGAATGACTTTCATGGCTGCAGGGCATATAGAATTATGTCCAGGGTTCTGAAGCTACTGGGTTACAGGGCTTGAGGTTCAGGGGTCATTGGGTTTAGGGACGTAGGGTTTAGGGGGTATGTGTGGGATTATGGGGTTATCGGGTTATAGGGTCCCACATACACGCATACATCTTCATCCTTACTTGGAGGATCAAGAAGACGAACTAAGTATACTTGTAACCCCTCTATGTCTTTTGGTGGCGCCAATTATCCCCATGATTTAGGAAGTCCTCCTTACCCTGAACCCCGAACTCTAAATCCTGAATCCTAAACCTTTAACTACCATAGTAGTTTGCGTTTTCTATTGTCTGGTGGTGGCTTAGCCAGAGAACCCACCCCAAAGCCTTCGTTGCGGCCGCGTGGCTCCTGGTAGAAATTTGCGAACCACTCCAGCAAGCTCAGAGGCTGTGTGACCTCCAAACTGTGATGGGGATGGACGGTTGTTCAGGACCTTTATGCGTTTTGACTGACATTTGGCTGCTCATGCATGAGTGCCCTTGGTGACAAAATGTCAGAAATCGGTTCGCAGACCAACACCGGGACAGCTCAACCGTAAGAAATGCAGGGGCCTAAATGGCCTAAATAGCTACCAATGTCATTTGACGTCTGCTTGAGGTACCCTATACTCTCATTATCTGTACCAAAAAACTAGAACCATAATATTGGTAACTATCTCCCTAACTTACCCCCAGATAACCCAGCTTCCATGTTATTTACCATGTTCTTGTCCATTTGACTCTCTCCACTATCCCTAAGCCCTATAATTGGAATGCTCTTTACCTTAGATAGCTTGAAAAGCTGGGTTTGAAAATAAGGAGAATAAAAGCTAAACGAAAGGTAAATAAAAGCTGGAATAAAGCTAATTTGGTCCCTTGCAGAAAGGAGAATAAAAGGTACAAAAAAGCTACAAAAAAGCTATGCTTGTAATTACAATGGGTATAAGAATATTACTATGAACTAGAAGCCCATTTGTAGCTTTTCTGCACCTTTTAACTACAGTGTAACTACAGGTGTTGCAACCATGTCCAGAGCAAACTGTGCTCCATTCTTGTTCTTCCCCATACTACACCATGCTATTCAGGTGATACATTGTACATGCCATCATGCTGAAGCTAACTATGTCCACTCTTTATGCAGCACCAAGCTACTTTAAACATGGTACGAAAGTCTCCACTATTCCTGCAGTACACTGTAGTTTACACTGGGCCTTTGGCTAGATTTGTAAAGTGCCTTGGTCCTGCACATGCTACTACCCTGGGAATCTCACGCTGCCCTTTCCCATCCTTCCCTGGGCCTCCTCCCAAAACATCAGCCGCGCACCAGATGTTTTCCAGCTTGCGTGGCATCACGACATCCAAGCGGTTTTTGAAACTAGGCCGAGGCCCATGGCAAGACTCTTGAGGATATGATCACAGGTTGGATGCTGCTGCGGAATCTAGTTTACTAGGCTACTACCAGTTACTAGTTACTAGTTACTAGTTACTACTAATGACTAGTGACTAGGTGATTAGCGGTATGAGTCAGCCAATGGACACGTGCTGGCTCGCGTTTCTGAGTTGACTCAGCCAATCAGGCAATCTCTTTGCAGGCTTTTAGCAAAACAGGATGAATTAGCGACTCAGGCGGAGCATCCTTCCCCATGAGCTTGTCATACTGAGCCCTGAGCAGTTTGTCACGATTGATCTTGACCTTCTGCTCCAGGCCATTAAAGATCATGCCCTCAATCAGGATTGCATTGCAATACTGCGATGAGGTCAGGGAACCATTGATGGAAGCCTTCAACCCATCCACCACTTCATTGGGAGCCATTGGCAAAATCACCTGGTGCTTCCCCAGGAAATTCTGCGCAGCATCGAGCTCCTACTGACATGGCACAAACAATAAGTAAACCACTCATGCACGCACTTCACGAAACTCAGGCACAGCTTCCACATGTTGATGTAGATACTTACCCAGACACCCCACGCACCTTCATCAACGCATCACGGCAGGTGCGGAGCCCATTCCCATCAAACTTCCCCAACTTGTCCCGGGCTGCCACCTGAACATCCTTGAGCTCAGCGTCCTCCTTGAGCCCTGATTTCCAGGATGTGTCAGGGGTCTCCATTGTCAAACCCTGAGCTTTCTCCTTCATGACATTGACAAGGCCATCCACCTTCTCTTTCATTGCAGCACAACGGAGTCCAACAATCGGGAAAGATTGGCTGGCAATGCGCTTGAACTCCTGAGTGAACGAAACTCCAAACAGCACTGGCCGCTCAGCATCAACTGGCTCAGCCATTGAGCTGGGCATCTCCACAGTCTCTGCCTTCTTGACCATGTTGGCGATGCCGGTGCAGGCCCTGGAGAAGGTATCAAAGAGCATGCTGGTGGCATCCCCCTCCAACTGCGCAGTGTCACTGCCCAAATCAAGCAAGCGCTTCACGGAAATCTGGTAGACACACATCTCCTCAATCAAGGTCAGCTGAAGAGACACCCACTCACGCTGAGAATGGTTGACAATGTTCAGCATCTTCTTCGCCATGAGCACATCCTTCTTGAGCGAAAGCTGGGCACCAACTGCTTCACGCGGCGTCAGCTTGCTGACCTCGGCACCAAGCTCTTTTTGCTACCCTGGTTCTATCAGACATGTGACTCACACGCACGTACAAGCTGCAACCCCACTAGATCACTAGAGTCACTAGAGTCACTCACTAGAGTGACTGGATTAAGGCAAAGATACCACACTGCCAAGGTAGTCCAAGACGATGGCAAGGAGTGCCTCCACATTCCCTTGGCTAGACTCTATGGCGCCCGTGTCTTTCAACGCCTCCACAACACGAAGGGCATCTGGAAGCACGAACTGGCTCCAATCAGGAGTTGTGTCAGCAGTTCTCGCAAACTTTGTCACAATTTCCTGAAGCTCATGGAATGTCAGGCTTGAGAGGTTAGCACTCTTCCACTGCTTCACGCGAATGACGAGGTCAGCCAGCTCTGCCTGGCATGAAGCGGGAGCCGGCATTGAAGTCAATGCACCCACAAGCCACTCACAATCGATTGCAAGAATTGCACCCTGCTGTCCAGAAGCATCGCTCTGCAGTACCTCATGGGCAATGGACTGCAGCTGCACCAAAGCTTCTGCCTCCATCACTGCCAGTGCACCAGGTCGCAGATACCTTTGGATTCTGCAACGGGTCTGCATTGCAGCCTTCACTGCCTCTACTCGCTGTACAATGTTGGCGGCATCCTGCATGATCTTTGTTGCCTTTGAAATGTCCATCGCAAACTCCACATCTGCCACAGCTGACTTCCGTGCTCGTGCAAGTAGCTCCACCCAGTATGGCGAGGATGTCAAGTGCTCTTTGAACTCCAGAAACATGAAGGAAAAGCTTGAATCCTTGAGGGCAGTCTCCACGGTCTCAACTGATGACTCCATGTGTCTAGGGATTGGTGACAGCAACGCAACAATGCTTCGACAGAAGCACTTCACTTTCTGCATTGCTTCCTCCAACGGGAGCGCCGCAGCTGGCAATCCCTCAGGCACCTTCTGCAATTCAAAGGCTGACAGAATGTCTTGGGCCAAACGGAGCAAGAAAGCCTCTGCTTTCTTTGCTGCGGCCTCTTTGCTGACAGGCAAGTCCTTCTGACCCAACTCTGCCACAGTCGCCAAAAGCCCCACCACAGAGCCGGAGCCCACACACGCCAACAAAGACTCGCCCATCGCCTGCATCAATGACTCTCACACACTTGCAACCAATTGGAATGACATGTTCATGCATGGCACCTAGGATGACCATAACTTACTACGCACACTAGCTGAATAACAGTAGCCGTCCTCCCAGTTGATTGGCGTTGGCTCAGGCAGATCCTGCAACTCTTCCTTGGCCAGCATGTTCCAGCCCCCCGAATCCTGATCAATTCTGGCGAGGGCCTCCAGAACTGTGTCCATCATTGTGGGGGCGAAGTAGTCAAACCCCTTGCAATTCTCAGAGAAGGGCACGATCATGCGCAGGAAGTCCTGGACATCCTTCTCAGCTTCCGACTCCACCATTTTCTTGGCATGCGCGCTCACAGCGGTGACCAGAACTTTCAGCTTCAGACTGTCGGTCGGCTCAATGGTTGAGCCCTCTGGATCAAGCTTCAAGAAGTGATACCGCTTCTGCAATTCCTCCGGCTCAATTGTACGAAGGTCCTTTGTCTGCACCAGCTCCTGAATGGTGTCGATAAGGGCACAGCGCTTTCGCAGGATCTTGGCCACACCGTCATCCTTGATGGAAGTCAAGAGGCGCTTGGCCTCAGCTGATGAAGCACACTCACCTGATACCTTGAATATCCTTGAACCTTCTATGCTTGCATGGCTACACACTGACAGACTAAGCAGCACACTGCAAAGGTTTGGTTTCCCAATTTCACCCCCTGCATGGCTTGACTGGGGCTCAACTGCATGATGCACTCCGGCAGTGTCTGGAGATATAGTGCAACTTTTTGCATAGGACGGTCGTGCGCAAGAGCTTCCAGAATTGTGTCTGGCTCCTGCGCTGGGCCAGCTGAAGGACCATCACTCTTTCCTGGCTGCGAAACCTTTGCACTGCCCTGCTTGCTTGCTGCCTTGCTCCTGCCGGCACCTGAGACACCAGCATCCGAGACACCTGCGTTGCTGGGAGGCTGTTTCTTTCTCTTTCGAACTGGCTCGGAGATTGGCGCAGGACCTGCTTCAGCTGAGTCAACTTGAAATGCTTGCAGGCGTGATAGCTTCTCCTGATCCACAGGCTCCGCTGGTTGTGGGTCTGGCTCGTTCAGACCCTCTGCAACAAGCGCCTGAGAAATCAATTCCTCCTTCTGCCGCTTCTTATCATCCTTGAGCGCTTGCTTGGCGCACAACTCAGCCAAGCTCTTCAGCTCATGTAGCTTCCCCACCTCAGGTCGCCCCTCATCCTGGGCAACACGTCTCTTCTCCATCAAGGTCAGCATAGCACTGCCCTGATCAGCTTGAATCTGATTCTGCGGCTGCAACGCTTTTTTCGCATGGAGGGTTGACGACTCACAGAAGAGACGCACTCGGCGAAAGGACAACCATGTCATCACATTCATATCCTTTGGGGCATCGTCTGCACGAATGTAGCAGCCCTTGATGCGGGACTGTCCATCTTCAGCTGTCCTCTCACAGATGGAGAGTCCCAAGGACTCTGCCGTCCCTCCTGTGTGGCGCACAACCTCCTGTGGAGAAAGAAACAGGACATCCACGTATGTCATTTCTCCGCAGCACAAGCGAGTATCCACAGCACTTGGTGGATTGTAGACCCGCTTCTTCTCAGGCTCTCCGTCCTCCACATGCACCAAGTTCTGCAAAGCCTCTTCCACCCTCTCATTGAAGGCAGGGTCATCCTTGCATCGCTCGACGCCTTCAGGCCATTCTACACCGCATCCAGTGACCACAGCAAGATGGCAGCGCAAGCATGCCATCAACTTTGCATGGAAGTCTCTGTCCTCATGACAGGGCGATTGGGACCAGAAATGATAGACTTGATAGACCTTGGACACAGTAGGCTGGACATGGATGCGCTAGAGGTCCTTCTGAACAGAAGCACATAAAATCCCTGCTGTCACTACGACATGACCAAAACGCCCAAATCCACTTGCTGTCCTTGCTGGTGCAACCACAGCGCTCACAGTGGCAAACTGCACCACGTTGCCGTTTGGGAGCTGGTAGCACGATTACCGGTTCCTTCGCCCTCCGCGCTTTGCGATCTCTCGCCGCCTAAGCTGACATTCATGGCCTAGGACCTAGAACTTAGGACCTAGGACTTAAAAAAAGCTCTGCCGCTACTTCACACCTGATTCTGAGGAGAATGATTGAAGTTGGGCCTCAAACAATCAATCAATAAAACTCCCTCTCTCTCTCTATCTCTCTCTCTCTCACTCTCTCTCTCGCTCTGAAACAGGACCATCAACAATCAGTCATGGCCAACACCACGCAAGAAAACAGCTGTTCTGCTTGCAAGAGGCCATATCCAACTAAGACGCTGCCAAAGCTAGATGTCGCTGGGCTCGATTGCTGAGTCACGGTCCCAAAAACTGCAACATGGGTGTGAGGTGTGAGTCTGAGTTCTGAAGTTGCACGTGCATGGCACGTGCTGGATTCTCACCAATGCATCTTCCCCACTCAGACTTTGCTTTTGCGTGCGATGCACAGCTTTGCAGTCGGTAGCACAACCAACAATGCTGTCCAAGTGGACCCTCCGTGCGCTATAGCCGCTATAGCCGGTACATAAACATAGCCAGTAGAATCATTAGAAGCATTAGAATCATTAGAAATTAGAATCATTAATTAGAATCAAGAAAGATTTGGACAGTGTTGGAATACAAGCCTCTCTTTTCTGAGAGAATTCTCGTCTACTGCCATGAGGTCATGGGGTCTTGGTACACTGGGTCCTGGTGTGGGGGTTGTAGAGCAGGTTAGAAGCATTGTCTAGGGCATAGGCTACAGGAACTATACTGGTGTTCATGGCAGTTCAGCAAACGACCAGCCTCAGTGCACAAAGCAAAGCCAGTATTGACACGGAGTTATGGATGGAGTTTGTTTGCCACTAAAGCTCTACACAGCCAAGTACTAAGTAGTGAGTCAATTAAGGGCACGATGCGGAGGCTTTGGTGAAAGCTATGGCAGCAGCTGACCACTGCCTGAAAACTTCTGCTTAGCGTTCTCTGGACCGAGGCAGCACATTCCACTGTTCTACGCCACATGCGAAGTTGCGACGCCCAGCATCCAAAAAGATACCAGGCTAGGCGGCTAGTCACGATTGATACCTCTACAGCTGCTGATGCTTGCGTGGGCTTGAAAAGTCAATGTAGTATGTATATTTATTGACACCCTATCCGTCTTCATCACTACTCAGTCGGTTCTCACAGTGACTAGTGACTAGTGTTATTTTCGGATGGGGGAAATCTTGCAGCACCCTACATACAGGTACAGGGGTCCCTTAATTATTGTTTATTCGAAGCATTGCCAGATTTTCTCCATCCATGGTTGTAGGTCCTAGCTCTAGGTCGGCTACACTCAAACAGTGGGGCCACCTCATCACGCAGGAACGCTCAAGAACTCTGGCCTTTGCTAGCAGACACTGGAAAAGACATATTTATGACACTACACAATCCTGCCTTTAGCACAATGACCTGCCCATAGATGCATTGAAGGACCCCTTGTTTGCAGTGTCTGTACCCGGCCCCTCCAAAGTACATGCCTTGCAACTGGTGAAGCTTCTTTGAGTGGAAACTAACCGTAGGATTCTGGCAATGCTGAACTGCAACTACTAAACCCTAAACTTGCCCTAAACCCTTTTTGCAGCAGGCTTGGAGGATATCTGCCTAAACCCTAAACCCTAAACCCTAAATCCTAAAGCCCTAAAACCAAAGCTAAACCCTAAACCCTGGCCCTAACCCTAGCCCTAAACTAAACCACGTCAGGTAAGTCTAGGCCACATAATGAAGGCAGTTGGAGGGTCTAGGTACTTTTTACTGTGCCCCATAGAGGCCATGTTCCATGTGTGCGCTGGCATCCACGGAATCTGGCGAACTTGGAAGTGTAGTTCGCATTATGTGAAGGGATAGTAGCACAGAGCCTACACAAGGGAGGCTCACGCCACCTCCGAGCATGCGCTTCAAATCCCGGGGTCGAACTGACTCCGGCAACTGTACCACCTGAGTGTATCCCAACATGGCCAATATCTCCTGTGGGAGTACTACGCGGTCCTGGCCAAAATGGTATAATTCACTAGCGGTTGTAAAGCATGGCCCTAGGCCATCATCAGAACTGTGGCAGTGTCTGATGTGGCTCTGGCTCACGTCAAGGAAGACTCTGCTCAACTCGTGTTTTGGGTTGCCATGCTTCTTCAGGAGGATTTTCGCCGCAGTAACGTCCAACAGGTCTCGGATACGGTCTGTCATATTGATGCCCTCGCCCAAGAAAGTGTTCCGAGACGTCCAAGGAGCAAAGTCTCTGGAAACGCCCAAGAGATCCCGTATCTCACAGGATTGCTGCTTCCACTTCGCATGCTCCTGCCCGAGCCGCTCCTTGCTGTGTGGCGGCGGCTGTGACACCTGTCATCAGCAACAGCCAGACAACAAAACAGCAAGAATGATCAGGGTAATTGGAATAGTCAAGAATAATCTTAAATAGTTACGAGGTCTAGGTTCCAGGTCCAGGTCCGTAGACAGCAACCATAGGGCAGGAACGAGGGTGCAGAGAAAACAGGACGTGTTTGAAGCCTTGGCCATAACCGCACTTGTTGCCCCTCACCACTACTCGCCAACCCCGACACCCACCACCCACTGCCACTCACCAGCGCTGCCCAGGGCCCTACCAGATCCCAACCTTCAACTTGCCGACTGCCGCCGCTGCCCTTCCAACCACTGCCGCAACTACCTCACCATGGCCGCCACCACCACCACCACCACCACCACCACAACAGCCATCACAACCACCACTGCCGTCACCGCCACCACTGGCACCACTGCTGCCTGCTGCTGCCACCACCACATTGTCATCACCTCCACTACCACTCTCAGTTTGTCACTGAGGTTTCTGGGAGGCTTTCTGCGAGCGCCTTTTAATCACCTTTTCAGTACCTTTTGCAAGAGCCTCCGAACAACTTTTTTTCGCCTTTTAATTGCCTTTTTTCCAGCTTTATTTCGTCCAAACCCTTGCCCAAGGCCAACTAAGCGGCCTCAGTGGAAAACCTTGAAAAACACAGGAAAAAGCTAAAAAAAAAGCTAAAAAAAAGCAAAAAAAAGCTGAAAAAAAGCTGAGAAAAAGCTGAAAAAAAGCTAAGCAGCAAGCCGAAAAAAGCTGAAAAAAAGCTAAGCAGCAAGCCGAAAAAAGCTGAAAAAAAGCTAGCCGACAGCTGGCAGTACCAGCGCACAAAGGCAAACAAAAGCTGTTTGCCTGAGCTACAATCTAAACTTCAGACCTACTACCCCCCCTAAAACCATCTAATTTCGCCCATAGAGTGTCCAGTAGCCCCCTGCATAAAACTATAAGAATCCCTTCAAGAACTGCTGCAACGAGTCTAGAGTGTCTTGATTCTGGATTATGGCTGACATGCTGACCTGTGGCAAGTATGACTGCAGCAGCATGAGTCATGATGGTGATGGTGGCATGGTGGCGGCGGCGGCGGTGGTGGTGGTGGTGATGGTGATGGTGACGGTGACGGTGATGATGGTGGTGGTGGTGAAACGTGTGTGTTTTACCGGACCTCAGTGTACGTTTTTACTGAGGACCTGTGAAATCAATGGTTTTCGAGGAGGTGGTGGTGGTGCTGGTGGTGGTGCTGGTAACAGTGGTGGTGGCAGTGGTGGCAGTGGCACAGGTGGTGATGCTGGCGCAGGTGGTGATGTTGGTGGTGGTCAGTGGTGGTGATGGTGGCGGCAGTGGTGGCAATGGTGGTAGTGGTGGTGGTTGTTTTGGCACTGCTGCTGCTGCTGCGGTGGTGGTGGTGGTGGTGGTGGCGGTGGTGGTGGCGGTGGTGGCGGCAGTGCTGGTGTTTCATGGAGAAGCGGATTCGTTGCACATCAGCATTGCAACTTGTGCGCGAACACAGGCCACCAGGGTTTAGGGTTTAGGTTTAGGGTTTAGCACACCTTCCACGCGGCCATGTTGGCAACAAATCGATGGTTCGTGCGCTTCCACAGAAACTCCTCCATTCGTCTCGGAGTCTCCTGCTGCTGCTTCATGATGATGTCCTGCGATCAGTGTGGGTTTAGGTTTAGGGCGTAAAAAGTTCAGGGCTTAGGGTCTGTAGGGTTCAGGGATTATCAAGGATGAAGGTGTTTTAGGGCTTATGTAAGGGCAAGTCAGACTAGTCAAGTCACCTAGACCTAGTCAGTAGATTCAGTAGATAGCTTGATTTCACGTCATGATCGGCAGTCTGTGTAACATGGATGGCTTCAGACACTATTGCGGCAGTGGACCTGAAGGATCTCCTGCCACTTGGCAGCCTGCGCTGCACTGTACACATCCTTCTTGAGGTAGCACAGGTACAACCTGCGCAGGCACATGCTGATGAAAGGTCACAAGCTAGATTCGCAAGGATACAATTGACATGCGGCGGTTGCAGGCATGTGGCTCGGACCTTTTTTTTGATGGGAAGTGCTGTTCTTCAGCAATTCATGTTCGTGCACACACAGCGAGCAGAAAACCCCCCTTGTTTGATCCTTCTAGAGGCCTCGGGCTCTAGGGCTTCGGAATGTCTTTAGTCTACTGTGAACCTCCTGTCACACCTGATTTCACCAAGGATGGATTCCGGAGTACTTAAAAAAAGGGTTACTTTTGTGTTATGCAGCTGGAAAGTACGCAGGTTTTACCAACAGTGGTTCAGGGCACTGGGAACAAGGGGTGCTTTCAGTTCTGAAAGCTATCTGCTCGAGATCATGCAACAGCTTGGCAACGTCTGAGCCTCTCCTTCTTGCAGCAACACCAGGGCCGGATTCTAGATTCTGTTCAAGTGAGACTCCAATGACTCTAATGGCTCTAATGACTGACTAGTGACCACTAGTCACTAGTGACTAGTGACTAATAAGTCTTGCGCTGGCTTGAACCGCCATCCCAGGTTCTCAGAAAATGTGTTGTAGATTGTAGCCTTTGATGACCCACCGCTAGTGATTCCTGCAACTCTAGTGACTCTAGTGAGTGACTCTAGCGGCTATCTAGCGGCTCTAGTGTTGCTCATTCCAGCCACTTCTAACAAATTTCAGACGAACTGCTCTGGTTCTTCTGGCTCATCTGCATGTCTAGCCCTTTCATGCTCACTGAAGGCTGCAGCGCCCGGCTGTGACATGAACAAGGTTCGGGCTTGCTGTCTCCTCCGCAAACTGGTGCCTTTGCTTGTGTGGATGTGACTTCGGCCATCTGCGTAGTTGGCTCCGTCACGCAGCCACGCACAAAGGAAACCTATGGGCCGACCTTGGCCAGCTCTTGTTCCAGCTCGCACAGTGCGAGATCTTTTGCAGTCCCCATGACCTTCGAAATTGCAGCGTGCCAACAAGGTCTGTGAGCGAGAATTCCACGCCAAGCTGCCCAAAATCACACCATTCTCCACAAAGTCAATGGCCTGCTCCTTGACAAGCTTCACTTTGGCAACTTTTGCCTCGGCTTTGGCCTTTGGGCTGGGGCCACTGGGATCTCGGGCTGAGCTTGCAGCCTCATCCCCTGGTTCTGCCCTGTCAGAAATCTCAGCCAGCGTTTCCCACTGGCTGAAGTCAGCAAGGTCTCCTGGCCCACCGGTAGTGTATTTGGCTTCCTCATCGCTCTCTTGCCCGGAGTCACTCGCATTGTCATCATCAGCTGCAACATCCTCATCACTTGACTCAGAGAGCCCTACCCCAGCAGCATGCATGTTGGGCTGTTCTTCACCCTCTGCCAACTCTGCTGCTGCTGGCGGCCCTGGTGCAGCAGCTGGCTTGAAATCATGCGCTTTCCTAGCCCGCTTGCTTGGCCGACGGGGTTGGCCTGAACGTGGACCTCGCTTGCCACTTGCTTTCTTCTTCTTCTTTTCCTCCGCTTGGGCATACTCCTCATCTATGCCCTTCCAAACTACCATACTTGGCAAAACTGCGTCCTCCACTTTCCGCACTTCCACAATGTTGGGCGAAAACGATGCTTCTGGCAGAATCTCATTATCCACAATGATTTCATACCAGTCTGCTGTCCATGTGTGGTTCAACTTCATTTTCTCAAACACAGCACAAGACCTCTTGATTTCCAGGAGGTGAGGCATGCTCAACACAATTGCATTTTGCATTGTCTGCTTCTCCGGCTCACACAGAAGACGCATCAGCGTGAAATCCAGAGACTTGAAGTTAATATAACTCAGATGCATCCACATGCTTGCCGGCGCTGACGTGGCAGGATCAAGACTGGGATCAGGCCAACCATGCTCGTCCAGCTCCATAACTTCCAAAGCCTGCGCTGAAAGCTTCAAGACAAGCATGCTGGCTTCAGCAAGCTCACGGGCTTTGGTCTTCTTCACCGGAAGACCTTTCTTTTTGGCTTCTTCCCTCTCTGCTTTCTTCATCCGTGTAATCCACCATGGGCGAAGAAGTGAGGAAAGATTTTGATGAAACATCCAAGCGTTTTGCCCATCGCCTTTGCACAGGCACATGCCGTACTTCAGGCATTTGCTGGGCTTCAGCTCTTGCACAGGAATGTCATCTGCATCAGAACATTCTTGCATCATATGAAGACTGTCCCATGCTTCTCCAAGCATGGTCTTCATTGGCATCCTCTGTTGGTTGCGCATCCAGCCTTCTTTGCCACGGAGCATTGCTGCCTGACAGGTCAGGGCTCAAAATTGAAAACAGTTGAGAATGATGAATGAGAAGCTGAGCGCACTAGCCGTGATTGGCTTGACTTACCCATGTTCTCATGATTCCACACTGCATTCCCTATGTGTGCTACACACTGTATGTATGTATGTCCCAGGCCCAAACCCACATGCCTTCGCAAGATCCACTGCTGGACTACACCACTGCGATGAATGACAAGTAGCATCAGGCGCATCCAGAGTAGGCACAAGGTTGGCGCAGGGAACTTGGACTGGTACTGGGCATGGATCATCAAGGCAGCGCTGCTGTCTCCTTGCTACCAAAGCCTCCTGTTCCTTGGAAGCCTTCATGGCAGCTGCGCGTGCTGCATCCCTCGATTTTTGCCTGGTCTCTTGTAACAATCCTACTGCCTGATCCTTCAAGCGCAGACCCGTCTCAGCAGGAGACCTGACTGGAAGGATCTCTTGACCCCCTCTGCCCCCTCTGTGCCCAGCAATGAATGCTCGCTGCCCTGCTCTGCGGCTGATCACAGCAGCAGCACCCAGCTGCTGATAATAGGCACGTTGCTCTGCACTCAGGTTTCGATACTCACTGTGCAAGCGCTTGTACACATTGCCCAAGCCTCTCTGTCCAATGTGCTGCCTGCCCAGTTCACGCATTCGGACATGGAAGTAGGCACGCTGTGGCCCTCCATTCCGTTGGACCTGCACTGGACGTGTTTTCTTCTTGCGTCGGGAACTCTTCTGCAATGACTGCAGCGGAAACTTCTTCACAGCAGCCACTGGCGGGAGCCCATCCAGTAGCTTGTGGTAGGCTGCATTTTGTAAGGTGGCCTGCCTCAGCATGTGGTCTGCAGAAAGTGTCTGCAAGATGACTTGCCATGTGCTGTTCTTTGTGTCCTGCAAATGCCGAACTACCGCGTGCCTGCTTTCAATGGATGCCACATCCAACTCGCAAAGGTCATAGGCGCCATGAAGGAATGCCAACGCTTCTGTAGAAACCATTCGGTCAGCACCCGGATGATCAGGAGTGGGGCCGTACATAGCAAGGAACTTCTTACAGAACGCATCATGCATGCAGTCTGGCTGGGACGCAATTGCCTCCGCAACGTCAATGGATGCATCTTCTAACAACAGTGCAGGAAGATAAGGGCACACCTCACGCAAGCTGTGTATGAGAAAATGCGCCGCCCCTCCCAACCTTGCAAGCAAAGAAAACATCATGACTCTGTGTCGTCTGGTCATGCTCTGCAATGGGACTGCTGCAGGAGGCTCATGAAACGCTGCACAAGTGGAATCCATCATACAATCCAGATCCTTGCTGAGCAATGCTTCTGTCACACGGTATGATCTTGGTTGGCCCTGTGACAAAGCCTTTGCTTGCTCATCATCCCACTCACTGCCCGACCTTCGCAACATTGCAAAAAAAACCCTGGAACTGATTGTCAGCACACGCCTGACAAGTGCAAGAATGCCCAGGTCGTAACCAACTGCCCAGGCTTCCATCTTCTTCTGCATGCTGCGGTTGAACGCTGCCCAGTCTTGTGGATCTTTTCCTGCAGGACTATCTCCAGGGATTTCAGCTTCAAGTGTTGCCAATGGATTTGCGTCATCCCTGGCTGCACCCAACACTTCTGCTTCCATTGCTGCCCATCCCTCTGCTGGAATTTCTGGAACTGCTAACAGAGCAGCTGCATCTGCAGGCGGCGCCATGGTTTGCTGCGTCTTGAACATGCGCTGCACAGTTGTGGAGAACAATTTGTGATGGCATTCTAGCAAAGCAACATAGTCCACAGCACTTTCACCACCCAACCATCTATGCCTTGCATACACAGGCATTGAGCCCGGCACCAGTGCTGGGATGACATGGCTTCGCAGCATATCTAGAACATCATCCTCTGTTGCAAGGACGCCCTGAGTGTAGAACTCCACTGTAGGATGCTCCAGGTCACCACACAGAAAACGACTCAAGATTGCCTTTTGCTGGGCACGCCTCTGCTGTAGATGCTTCTTGTCGTCTTCACGCGCAAGGTCATCACTCAAGAAGGTGTTGTACACCTGTTGCCGGTAGGCCTTGGAGCGCCCTTCATCAGGGCACCCGTGGACGATCAACAACCTACTTCGAATTTCCTCAAACAAATGCTCCTTGAAAGTAGCCAGGGAACCGGCCTGCCGCAACACAATGGAACTTGCAATGATGCCTGAAATATGGAGGTCAACAATTTTCAGACACCATGTCACGGAAGTTGACATTTTATGTACCTCACAATCCATGTGAAGGACTGTGTCCTGTGGCCGCTGCCACTGTAAACAAGCCTCTGACTTCTGGTTGGCTAGGGCTCGATCTGCGATATTGATATCAACGGATGCCTTGCAAAGCCAGCCAAGAGTGTCAGCAGCCGGGACCGAATTTATCACCTTCTGCTGGCACACACAGATATCCTCACCACGGGTCCGTTCCATGCCCTGCAAGCATGTTGGCACAATCCCAGAGCAATATAGAAAGCGGTTGGTAGCAATGTCTTTGACCAGCACACCCAGCCTGTATCGCGTCTGCATGCACTTTGTAATGCTTGTCTCGGCCTTGGATCCCATCCCTGCTCGCGTACCGGACTTTGTCTGTACCCTGAGCCGAAGGGGTGTTTCATCATATGTCCTGCAGCGAAAAACAGCAATGCCTTCAAGCTCATGTGACTCTATTCGTCTGCATATGCCTTGGAGATGCGCATTCCATGCAGCACAGCCAAGATGCCAAACTGCTGAAGCTGCACATACGAGGTCACTCAAGAAACTTTTCCGAAACACCTGCAACTTGTCTGCCTCAGATGTCAAGCTTGTCTGTGGCCGAGCTGGTGTCAACAGGAACCTGTCCAACACCTGCCTTTCCTCATCAGGCACAGCATTTGCATCGGAATCGCAAAAATACTCGCAAGCTGTCAGCATGAGCTGGCATTGAAAGGTAGTGCCACATGTCAGAAGTGGCCATGACAATTCTTGCAGACTGACACTGCAATTGCGGCGGCTAGCTGCAGGTGCATTCACAGAATCATCAGCTTCATTTGGAGGAGCCACTTCACGTGGTGGCAACTCTCGCAAAGCTCGTCTCAACAGGTGGCTCCCAAACTTGCCTAGCCGATTCCCAGCTCTACCACTTCCTTTCTTTCCCATCTTGAACACACACAGAGCTGCAGGATTTACAATTGCTCACCCACATTGACCTACTTTCAGCACAAACACAGCATGGACAGAAGGCTGAACCCACACATGCCAAATCCCACAGTAGCAAGGCAAGGGAGGGCGCACCGTGGCCGGCTGAGCTTCACCCATATGCGAAGGTCCATCTTGACAACAAAGATGTGATAGCCCGGGTGGCCAGCATCTTCAAGACGCTGGACACTCTCAAGGAACCTCAGACAAGCTGTGCACTTGAACTACATGACTCACTACTCATGTCCTAGCAGGAGCTACATGCAATCAAATGACATCTGCAACGGTGTCTGCGAAGTGGTCTCATCAAATGGCTTGTCCCAACCCATGACATTCTCGCACACCCCCGCTTCTGGAGACAACTGTGCCAACCACTTCACCAAACCATCTGAAGTCAAGGCATCATCCGCGTGATTCTTCACTGAGCCACTTGCAAAACGCTTCACCCTCTGTGTGGAGTAGGGGGCACAGACTGTCCCGCAAGCAGCTATGCTAGCAGTTCGAACACAATCAGCTGGATTGTTGTGCAGGCTGCAAGCACAGTTGAGATCACATTGCTCCATCAAATCCGTGAAAACATGCGGCACTTGAAAATTAGCAGCAATGATCTCACGGCACCTGGCGTCCTTCTCTGCAACAGATTGCAGCTGCACTCGAAAGCCCAGCTCCTGCCAACATACCCCCCACTGCACCTATGCCCCTGGGGCACTCAAGTGATCATGATCTGCAATGTGGGTCAGCAAATATCAAGACTGTCAAAGGAGTCCTGCAACGCAAAAGCTTCTGCCAGCATTCCACTGCAGCCAGAAACTAATGTCACAGAGCTGTCCCGTGGGCTCTGGAAACGATACCCACGTGTGTGCTGCTCCAGCAAAGTCACCCACCATGCCTCTGACCCATCCTGGGAAGATGATGTGCCAGCAGAACTTTCATCCGCAGAATCACCTGGGTCAGAGAGAGGGCGATAGACCTCAGCATCTTCCATCTGTTCGCAGTTTTCCTCAGAAGATGCCAGGCACTCTGCCATAAGAAGGTCCCATGCCATGGCTGTACCCTGTCTGCTGCTTGCCAACAGAACTTGACACACAATGGGCTGCTGCTGAAAGCATCTTTGTAGCAGCATGTAGCACTGCACACATGCCAGAAGCAGCTTTCTGGCAGCTTTGTTTCACCTTTTTTTTACCTTTAGGGATCTGAGAGCCGCAGCTTCCTGACAGCTTTATTTTACCTTTATTTCACCTTTTTTTCAAACCATATATTACCTTATTGTCTAAGCATTGAACCTTCCAACCCTATAATTACCCCAGAATCCCCTCACAGGAAACATGATATTGGTAATCTGCAGGACCCGAATCCTTAAACCTTAAGTGAGCCTAACCCAAACCCTAAACCCGATATATCCCTAGATAATACCATATATATCTCTTGACAGGAAATTATTTTGACTTCTACATTGTTGAAAAGGCATCAGCCCCACGAGCCCCGTAAACTTCAGCCTCGGCGCCATCCTTGGACCTCAGATCATGCAGGATATTTGGTATCTTTTAGGGTTTAGAAGTTTAGGGTTTGGGGCTTTAAGGTTAAAGGTTTGGGCTTTGGGGTTGGGGTTTAGAGATCAAGGATTTAGGTTCAAGGGATTAGGGACCTGGGGTAGGGTGCCGAGAGATCTAGACTAAAGTTTTTTAGAGTTTTGAAGTTGGGTTGTTAGATCGCCTTGAACCAATGGTCTTCAACAAGTGTCAATTTGGCTGGCTGGGGCCCCTACCCTGCTCTACACCCCAAACCTCTAGCCCTCAACCCTATATCCCAAGCCAGAGACCGTGAACCCTGAACTGTAAATCCTATAGCCCGTAAGCCCTAAACCCCTAAACCGCGCAATGCTCGCTTTCATGACGGCTCATGTTGTCCTGATTATCAGCTGGTGGAGGGATGGCTGCTTGCAGCCAGCTTGGATACGATTGATACGAAAAAACGGGGGGGTTACATATGTAGGATTTGAAGTCTGGGGGTTTAAGGATTTCAGTTCCAAAAATGGAATCGAATGCCAAGAAAATGGAAGATGGACTGGAAACTGGGATGATCTGATTTGGAGGGTGTCTTACCTCTGGTTAGCAAGAAACAAAGGAATAGTAGTCAGTAGTCCCTGTACAGGGCTTTCTGTAAATCAGGGTGCCTTTATGCGGATACATACACGTCTACGGGCACGATGTGGTGTGGAGAAGGAAGGCACTGCCAAAACTTGAAGGTAGGGGCCAAAGTAATGTCTGAACCAATATCATGTTGAGGCTTATTTGAGGCACCCCAAGGAATTGCGACCAAATCTCCAGGCTTCCACACTACCGCTTCGGACACTTCATGCACGTCATAGCTCGCGCGAGAGACAGCAAGCTGACTAAGAAGGGGCCATCATACTCAAACGGACGGGTCTAAGGTTTGGGGTTCAAGGTTTAGGGTTCAGGGCGTAGGGTTTATTGCTTACATGCAAATCTGCAAATCCTCCCTCTCGAACCTGAATTAATCGGTAAACCATATGACCGCACGGTTCCCGCAAGCCCTTCTCAAAACACCTCGTCGCACTACGCTAGGGTTTGAAACAGTTTGCGTGCAAGGAGTTCAGTCAGATTGCTTGGAAACATGCGGCCTTGACTTGTTATCAACATGTTGGAGCAACACTTCGTGGATGCTCCAGAAGCCATCCCCGCAAGAAGAACTGATGCTGCATATATATGTATATCTGCATTATATACATATCTCCGAAAATGCAAAGTTCCTATCATGGAGACCCGTGGAAATTTACCCCCAAAGCTTTGCAACCCCCCATGGCAGCCTCAGCGTCAGCTCTCGGTGATTCAACTGCTCGGTCAACTAACGCAGCGGAAGATGTTAAACGATCCCCAGAGTCCAGCTCCGGGTGTAATCCGCACGATGACTGGCCGAGGATCCCACGATGCATGCTACGCGGTTCAGCGGCATAGTTTAAGATCTATTTGGGACCTGCACAAGGAATCTACGACCACAGTTCTGGAATATTTCTAGGCCAGTGCCTAAACCCTGAACTCATACCCTAATACCCTGGACCCTGAGCTCTAAATCCCTAAGCCCTAAAACCTAGACCTCAAACTGTAGATCCCTAAACCCTATACCCTAGACCTAGACCCCAAACTCTGAATCCGTAATCCCTTATTAATCCTGGCCACGGATGGACACCAGGCGGCGGGCACCCTGGCCAACATACTGTTCGCTCTATACAGCTCGTTCATGTACGATCAGTATGACGGGCCTGAGTTATGAAGTTGTGGGCCCCTAAACGATTCTTTGCATAGGTGGGCGACATGCTAGTTTGCTCAGTTGGGTGATGGAAGGGGGGTAGTCCAATAGGTCCTCAATACTAGGAATGTTGGTTACGCTGACGGGCCCTTACTCTGGCGGGCCCTCTTTGCCTTGTCAGCCCTTGCTCTGGCAGCCCTTATCTGGCGAGCCTTCTATGGGCACAAGCCTTAGGCTCAATGAACAGATTCCCAAACCCTAAACCTTCAACCTCGAAACCCTGAACCCAAACCCCGAACTCAATCTAGTCACTAGACTCTACTCCCAGATACTTTCCATAGATGGGGGGCACAGTAAATCTAGCTCCCAAACAACTATACTGCTCATGATGGGATCCCCCAAAAAGGCACCTAATTTGCGGAAACCTTACTTTCCGCTATAAACGATACTGGAATGGAAGTCTCCATTGCATGTTCCATTTTCGTTTCCATGTGATTCTCCATTTTCGGTACCCTGAACCCTAAAATCCAAACGCTAAATTCCCTATAGTACCCCTAATTCTTGGAACCCTCCAGCCCCTATACATCCCAATTAGACTTATGATGCCCTTTAGGCCGCCGAGTTGCTTCGAGATCGCGATTGCTAACCCAAAGCTCAAAAGCCTGCACCCTAAAAATTGAACCCTAAATCCCAAACCTGAACTAAGCCAAAACCTTAAACCCTAATCCCTAAGCCCAAAACTCTCTGCCCTAAACCTTCAGCCTTACCTAAACCCAACACCCTGACGTGCACCAGCCTGGTGGCAACAGGAGCCAGAGTTCAGGAAGTTTGCATGTAGGGCACACCCTCAACCTTAAAAACCCCAACGCCTCAACACCCTAAAGCACAAAGACCCCAAACCCTTAACCGTAAACACCTAAAGCCTAAACCCCAAAACGCCTGGTGGTAACATCAGCCAACGCTTCCTTCCCTTCACCACGGCATTCCACGCGCAGGTCTTGTTCCTTTTGAGGGTTTTTAGGGTTTAGGGTTTAGGGGACGCTGGGGCTTCAAGAGTTCAGATGGACAACTTAGCACTGGGCTCAGGGTTTAGGGTTTAGGGGTGGAGTCTGACGCGCTCTGGGCTTGAGCTGCGCCCTATCCCCCTTATTGCGCAGCTGTTAAGGGGCTTAATTTGAGTTACCATGATGGGTATAAATGATAATTGATATGGTTCCCCCATTACAGCAACTTAACAACTAAGTTCCTGAACAGCAACCCAATCTAGGGTCCCTTTCTAGGGCTAGGGTTCAGAGGTTAAACGGTTTAGCGCTTTAGGGTTTACCTTACCCCAACAAATGAAAGCCCAAAAAGAAGACAGCCCTTGACCCTAAATCCAAAGCTGGAACCGTAAACCATGTAATCACTACTTACGCAATCATATGACAAACCCTATACTCCCTACATTGTCCCATGCTGCTCTACGGTAAAGCTATATCTTGAACCGCAAACCCTAACGCTAAAACCCAAGGCTTGGATGCATATATGTATAGCTTCACTCTCTCATCCTCTATATAGTCCCTATATAGATAGTCTCTGTTTAAACCCCTGTAGAAACCATTCATAAGACCATGTACAAGCCCATACACACATGTGTTCGCTGGATAGACATTAATAGTTCCATATGGTCCCTACATAAACCCATGTATACATGT